GCGATTTTCATATTGTCATTACATAGTCACACATATACAAACATACGTATGCACATGCATATGCAAATATACATATACATATATAAAGACGTATATTTTCTTTTTTCGCGCAAAATTAAATTTTCGTATTTTTTTCTTCGGTCTTCCTTATTCAATTACATATGTTGTTTCGCTAAGAAACCGCACGCCGCTTTGTTGTTTTATTTTAATTTTTTTGTTTTTTATTGTTACTGCTTTCTTGCCTATTATTGCCGCACACAGTCAGCCAGGCATTCGTCGCAATGTTCCGCTTAAGGCGATTATTGTGATTTTATTGCAAAAAAAGTAAATAAATCCATCAGTGAACCCATGCGGTGTAAAGCATCCTACTGTTCAATGAACCGCCAAACGCTATGTGACGCGCACAACGACACCCCAACCTCCCCTTACCGCTGTGTCAGACCGCAAGCCGCATTGGTCTGTACGCTGAAATAGCTATTCGAACTGATGATGCCGCATATCTAACTCGTAGTTACAGTTATCGATAGCGATTGATGGCGAATAAGCAAAATCAAATTTTCCAGATACATATATAGGTGTGTGTATGTGTGCCATACATACGCGTTTATGCGCGCGGGTATGATAAATAAATATTGAAATTGAAAATGAAATTGAAATTGGAGCGTATTTCAGTTAAGTGAGTGTGGAAAATGAAAGCAAAAAGCAAAAGCTTGGCGTGCAAATAAAAATCATAAACAAGCATACTATATACACACCCGCCAGCTGAAATGTTAGCCTGCCTTTATTTATGTAGTTGCCTATTTTTGCATATATCACATGTATGTATGTGTGCCTATGGGTGTATTAGTGAGTATTTCAAAGCTCCTTCATTTGCCTAGTGCTCGCAGCTGTGTTGAAATTTAGCCGTGAGCTTGTAATATACCCAGCACTTTCTTTCATTCTCAATTTTTTCTTGCTTTGTACGATTTCGCGGTATTTCACATACCGCACACATACACGAACTCGAAAAGAAAAACATAAAGCTCGCCGCTGCCACCATCAACGCTGATTTGCTGTATACCGTTGTTTATTTACACTTAAAGGTAATGGAATTTAAAAGTAAACAACAACAAGCGCGGCAGCCAACTCAAATTCTAGCGAAATGAAAATTGAGAATTGCCGTTATGTATGTGTATTGGTATGTAAGCACATATCAGCGTTAATTGAGCTACTTAGTAGCACCGTTATAGGTTGGCAGCTCAAACTTACACTTGTATTGGTGTGTGTATTGACTCACCCGTTTACATGTAAGCGCATTTTGTTTGCATTAAAAGCAGCTGTTTTGAAATATGTGTATGTTCGGCATTTGGTTTTTCAATTTCAATTTGCTTGATAATGTAAACAAATTGATGGAAAATTTGTAGCACTCTTGGTGGCAGTCGTTAAACAATGGACACAAAAAGGCAATTTTAAGTTGGGTAATAAAGCAATTTAACAGATCCTAATAACACTTTTGACGTTGGGTTCTGGGTATAGCAGCCTAAAGGTAGACTATGAAAAAATATTGGCTCTCAAATATGCCGTTTTGAAACAAGAAGGATGCTAAATATATGGTTAGACCACGAATATACATTACCCGGGCCGCAACGCCCGTTGTCGATTGCACGAGATGAAACCACAGTGACTAATATTTTATTTATTCGTCAAACAGCCTAAAAGTAGACTGTGAATGGTGCATTGTGAGAAAAGAAAGCGAAAAGATCTATTAAACGAATTAGAGTGAAAGAAGCAATTAGCGGAGTTGATATCGAGTGATATGTGGGAAAGTTTTACCAGAAATAATACTCTTAGTCAGTGGAGATGTGGCAAAATATTTTAAAGATCGCTATAGCTGTGTAATGTCCTCGATGGCAACTATATTTATATATTTATTAGTATATCAACATAAAAGTATACTACGTAGAACTCATCATTGAGATACTTACATATTGTTAGGGAGGGTTGGAAAAAAAGGGATATAAATTTAAAACAAAAAAAGCGTTGTTTTCGAGCTACCTATATTCGTAAAAATTATTCCAGAACAAATGGTTTTAGTTGCAAGCAAGCTTATGTGAACGTATAAACAAGACTCAAGGTGTCTTTGTCTCGCTTTGAGGCCTAAAAAGAATTTTTACGGGAAAGAAACTTAGCGACAATGAAGAGGTAATTGCCGACACTGAGGCTTATTTTACAAGAAGTGATAATTTACTTGTACTATAAAAATGCTAAAATGCTTAAAATATATCTATCATTATCATCTGCAGCCCATTTTAATTGAATTCTACAAATCTTCAGACATCACAGGGAAAGAGAGACACACAGAGAGGGATAAAGACCTCAAGCGTTACAAATGTCTTGACGCCCTTGACAGGATTTCTAGCTTTTTCCCGAACAATACAATCCTCTGACTAAATGGCGGCTCGAGCTTTAAACGGAGGCCTCTGACGCGTCTAATAGGTTAGACGGCTGCTTTTTTGATGTCACCTAGATCTGAAAATATCCGCCGTCGTTGAGTTTCTACCTGAAATCATAACTAATGAATTTCAATGAATGAAGTTTCAAAATATCACATGCCGACGTTTCCCCAACGAATTACAGAAAACTCTCGCAAAACCATTCTCAGACCGCTGGCTTTAAAGGATACGTTTCGAAAGCATTTTGCTGGAAATTGAAAGAGCAGCTCAATTAAAAAAAGATGGAATTATGAACCACTCAAAAATTCTTCTATCTGAAGGAACACACATATGGTATATACACATCTATCTACCAAATCTTTCACTTAAGCGCTCACTCAAGTGCGCTGACCGTCAGCGACAAAATCCAAGCCAAGAGTCAGTGAAATTTAGCTGGTGCATGCAACTTCATGTGGCATATAACTTTTGTGTGCGAGTGTATGACGAACAAAGAGTATGCTTACGTATGTGCGCCAAAACAAAGACTGTGGTAGTTTAAGTGCTTTTCGTTTAAAGTTGCATTGGTCAGTGATGACATTTATTTTTTGTTGCATGGCAATGAATCAAGCAGAACAATGCCACCAGAAAGCGGGAGATGGAACTTCAAAAAGTTGCAATGAAACCTGCACTTGAGCTCGTGTTCCCGGCGGGCTTGATTGACTGAGTGATAGTAGCAATGGTCTGCAGCAGATCGCGCTCGGTGCTTTCTCGAACTGAATATGTGTGCATGTGTTTGTGTATAAGTTGCTGGTTAACTGTAGTGGCGGATGCTGATAGGAATTTTATACTTCATAATTCAATGTTGATGAGGCTTGACAATTAATTGAAGAGAAGCAGCCAGTTAAGTGAAGTATGCACTTCCGAGTATGAAAGCGATTCTGATGCAGAGTGGAAATTTAATATAATTTATACAATAAGGCGTATAGAAAGAGAGATGGTGACATGGTGGAGGTGCATTTATAAAATTAGAGCATATCCAGCAGCGTTTATAATTATTAAAGCCTGCTTAAAGCCTAAGTTGTTCTGTTTTTAATTAGAATACAAGAAAAAGAATCATTTCTCTTAAACGAGTAACTGATTTTGATGATTTTATAAAGTTAATACTTATACAAAATCTCTGCATATTACAGAATGAATGAATTTACGGCATACTACCTACATTAGCTTAGAGCAGTTATACTTCACTTCTTTACGAAAGCTTTTGTGCTATGTTTTTTATTAAAGTTTTACCCAATTTGACCTTTATTAAGCTTTGCCTAAGCTGTGGAAGCTTTATTGTGAAAATTAGTTCAAAAAATGCTTACTAAAAGAGTGACGTTTGAATGACATACACTAACCCTAAAGCTTTCATATTTAACTAACTTAAGTATACCTAGTATACTTGTTTGTTTCACATTTTGTAGGAACTTCACTATTGTCTTCTCTATGACAGCTTTATGAGTTTAAATTTTCTAAATATTTCACTCATTTCTATAAACAAAAATATTTTTGAGAGAATTGAAAACTTTCATACGATAAATTATTTTGCGATAACTATTGAATAAAAACTTTAAAATATCAAAAGTTTTCAAGATTTTAAGCGTTAATTATATCAAAAAATGTGTATAAGCTTGTTATTTTTGAAAAGTTCCGAAGCTTTCATTCTTTAAATTGGAATTTATTAATTGCTTGCAAAATCTAACTTTGTTAAGGGTGAAACTTTTCAAAAGCTTTCAAATGCTAAATACATTTCTAAGCTTATTAAATGTTTACTTCTTACGAATTTGATATGTTGGCAAAGATTTCAAGCATGCGAGTAAGGGCACAATAGGCTACAGGTCGCAGTCTGATCCTTAACTGTTAATCTAACGTTTCGAGGTGCTCAATTATTTTTGATTAAAAGCTTCAAAGTAACCGATGTTCTGTTGCTATTCAAACTTTTTTTTAGATTTGTGTGTAGTTCTTCCAAAAGCTTTGGAAGATTTCGAAGCTTTGATAGGATTTTTTTTTTAATTTTGCGAACTTTTTAGTATAAAATTACAAAATATTGCAAAAAGCTTTCATATTTTAAATTAGTGTGAAAGCTTTTTCGAGAATTTTTGCAGTAAGTATTTATTTTTATGAAAAATATATGAAAATATAAATTTTTCTTCAGAATATTTCTTTGCATTCCGCAACATTTACTTAGTTTTCTGAAAAATTTCGGACTTTTCTAATTTTATTTGATACAAGAAAAAAATGTTCACTTTGGTTGCACCTATAATAATTCATTGTAGGTTTGTATGGTATATCCTACAGTAATCTCATAACAAATATCCGTTCCGACAAAAAAGTAGCTTCTTGATGAAAAAATAAATACATTTTCAAACATCGTGGCAAACTTAATATAGTACCCTATTCAGAGTATAAAAAGCTTTCACTCTTTTCAATTTAAGATAAAAACGAAAATCCAATTCTAAATTTAATAGAAATCAAATTAGGCATAACCAACAAAGAAACATTAGAGCAATAAATTTGAATATGAAAGTGAATTGATGAGTTATTGCTTACCGAATAAAAGGCACATTGAAGCCATGAAATTGTAAGTGCTTCACTGCTCAAGCGCTCAAGTGCTCAATGACTACCTGCAAAACAATAACCATTATAAGCAAGAGAACAAGAAAAAATCGAAGCTGTATTAATAAAAAACAAAAAGAAAACGAAAATAATATACGCTTGTCGGCAAGAAATTAAAGTAAAGCCAAAGTAGAAAAGAAAACAAAACAAGAAATAATAAAAGTGTAGAAGCAGCACGAACAAAATGTGTCGACAAAGAAAGCCAAAAAATAAATGCTTAATAACATGAAAAAAGCGAAGAAAAATGAGAAAATGTAACATGAAACCGCAAAGTTGGCGATTGAATGCCGAACTTGATTTTCAACAAGTTCACGCCTCTAAAATTATGCTCCAGCGTAATTCATTCGATATTTTTGCCGCCGCATTCAGCGCGAGTGCAAAGCGTGTAATTTCATGTATTTTTGTTTTCTTTTTATGATTTGCTTTTTATTTTATTTTCGACTGCCGTTTATCTTAATTTTTTTGGTTTTAATATGATTTGGTTTTGGCTTTCTTTGGGGCTTGCCACATAAATCTAACAAGTGCACAGCTGAACTGAACGAGAAAATAAACTGCACGCTGTGTACCCAGCAAAGCGGCGCGGTGCAACACATAACTTAAAAAAAAAAAATTTTATTCCTTTTTCCAAATTTTATTTCCATATTTTTTCGTCGAACCTGGTTTCAATCGGCCGCACAGCTGTGAAATGATGCGAATGTGTAAGACAAGAGAAACTTCGCTGGCTTAAACCGCAGCGTAAAAAACAAAGCAACAACAATAAGATGCTTGTATAGAAAAACAAAGAAAATTACAGTTAAAATAATGTTAATAAAAAAATCATAACTAATAATTTCAAGCGATAAAGCAGCCGTAAAGCTGTGTGCCTACGCGTGGCAGGGAGGTGAGGTGAGTTGAGTTAAGAAACACAAATAATACGAAACTGCCACAAATTGTTAGAAAGTAGCACGCGGTTGTGCTGATTTGAGGTTTTGTTCACTTGCTCACTTCCCATCTCACTACTTGGCAGCGGCTGCCTCTTGCGTAATTTGTGGTAGGAGTTAAGCGTCGATTATGCGCCACAATAGCAAGTGCGACTGCGCACTTACTTTTCGGCGGGTGGGTTTGCATATAGTCAAAGCGTTGTTGCAAGCTACACTCATGAATATGGCTAAATACAAAATTTTATTGCAAATAATAATTAGTTTTTAAATTTTAGTGAAGCATTTGAAGCTATGATCGAGTTTGAAGAATACTGAAAGTATTTTAATTTGCCACAAACCTGGCAATTACTGTAGAAATGAATTAGAGATATTGAAAATTTGCTAAATATCATATAGCGTTTTTTGTAAAGCAAGAAAAAAAGTTTACTTCGGCTGCACCGTAACTATAATACCTTGCACAGGTGCAATCTCATAGCAATTACAGTTTTTTTTTTTGGAGGTTGTAGCACTACCTTGGACAATAATTTATGCCAAACTTTGTGAAATACCTTGTCAAATAAAAGAGGTTTTTCTTGCAAATAATTGATTTTGACCGATCAGTTGTCAGTTATATCTTATGTTTTAGAGGTTCCATAGTTTCCAACATTCCATTTTTGTGGGGAAAAGCGCGTTTGCGAAATTTCAATACGATACCTTAAAAACTGTGGGGCTAGTTCGCGTCCCCAAATTTCCTTGCAAACTCCTTTTATTTTGTTCAGGTTATAGTTAATAATCTGTCTTAACAAAATACTTTAACTTGCGGCAGCAGAAAGCTTAACATATTCAATCTTATTTTTTTAAATTAGACTTATACTATTGATATGATTGGTATATTCTTGACTTATTTTTCGATTTAGCGCTTCTCATTAAAGAACTCATGTTTTATAAAATATTTAAATGGAAGTCGTGCTGCTATATCTAGGTCCTCTATTTGTCTAGTTATCAGGAGAAACGAAAACTGTACTTTCATGAAAGATGTTTACATCAGATAATTAACCCTTCTGCTTGGAAGCTGTCGGTATAAGAACTGTATAAATCACTCAACAGCTTTCTAGGTGAAACCCCATATCTTGGGATCTGCTTAACCGATTTCAACCAAATTCAGTATATAATATCTCTTATATTTGTAAGTTATAGTGCGAAAATGGATGAAATCGGATTACAATCACGCCTATTTCCCATGTAAGACCATTTTAAATTCCATCTGATTCTTTCACTTTCCACTATGCAAATCAAGCAATACTGATTGTATCGGGGTAAAACTTTACATGAATAATGCGTTTAAAATATGCCACTTTGTGAAATAAAATTGTCTAAATCGAACCAGACCTGTTCAAGCCCCTAGGTACTGAATATGTGGAGCCCAGTGCCTACAGTTGACTTTTTACCGAAAATATCGGTCAATGTGTAGGATATAGAATTAAAATTCATATAATGAAATAAATAAATGAACCTCTCAATAATAGTATGTCCTTGTGTCAAAAATGGATTGAATCGGTTCAATACTTTCTTCAATAAAAAGTTTTGCCAACACCTGATGTAATTTCCCGGGCTTTGATACTTGCAAGTTGTGAGAGTATAAAATGTTCGGTTACACCCGAACTTAGAACTTCTTTACTTGTTCTAATTTTATTTAATACTGATACTGGTAAATAACATCACCAATTTTCCAATTACTTCTACTTCATAAAACCTTTTTACCTCCACAAATTTTTAATAAATCAAAAGAACTTTAACCAATCACTTAAGGAATGGTGTGTAGGCTTTAAATTAAATTTGATTTAAATATTTATACCTTTACTTGCAAATGCAACACTTACGGCTCAATTCCATTACCGTTACCTACGGTGCACAATTACATTTTCACATATCAAATTATTTATATAAAATATTGTATCTTTGAATTTAATTTTGCTTCTTTTGCACACAACAGAAATTCAACTCGTTCTACAAATTCGTTACGACATATATACACACAAGTGCATGGAAAATAAATAAATAAAATCCGAAATCTCAATTCGCCGCAAAGCATTATTCTATTTCCTTGCATTTTTTATGAGTTCGAATTCTCAAAGCGATAGCTGACTGGCAAAGCACGAGATTTTCAGGCTTTCGCTCATTTCAATTGTCATACGATTTTGGCGAGCGACAAAAAATATTGAAGGCAGCAAGCAAAGAGATCTTTAAGACGACATAGCGCAGGAACAAAGGAAATGTATAAGTACAATAACAAAAAAATTTATTTGTATGTGGAACAGGAAAAATGTGCACCACTTGGAAGTGGCGTATGAAAAACCACAAGAAAATCACGCGCGACGCCACAAGATATGGCGAGGCAGCGGTAGTGGCAGCAACGATACCACCACCACCACCGTTAGTGGCGACGAACATCTCAGCTCAGTTCAGTTTAGCTGCACTTTAGCCCGAAGCGTCTGTTACATTCCAGCGCCATTGCCATCGTTGACAGCTGCGTCGCTACCGTCAGATACTAGATACCAGATACCATACATCAGATACACGTTTCACTTCCTTCTGGCTATGCTCGTCGTCAGTTGTACTCATCGTATATCTGCCACATATCTATCCATCTATCTAAATATCTGCTTGTACGTGGCGCGTTAGTGGAATAACTGAGTTGGCGCTGCGCAAGAGTGGTACATGATTTCATATGGATGTGTTTTGTACCCTATAGGAAAAGCTAATACCGTAACAATTTTAATCGTTTAATTTAAATATCCTTTATAAGTCTCTAGTTAAGAGCGTGGAAGGGTACGGTGCCGGTTGAGTCAACTCAAAACAAGAATTCATGAAAGTTAGTCGCAAACATCGCTGCTAAGCTTTGGATAATTTTCGCTATAGCAATGAATCGCCACCACCACTGAGAATCGATCTCGAGCTCATGGTGAACATTTTCTTGTTGCGTAGTTGTTTTCACCATAGATTGTCTACCGGTTACTCTGCAAGTATCAAATCCAAAAGCTGGTCTGAACATAAGCTGTAGGCGAACTTTTCTTGGAGCTAGTTAAAACGTCGCTGAGTCACAGAGTTCTCCAGTTTAAATTAGGAGAAGATGTAGTTCCTTTTTAAGCTCAGACTCCACTCTATTGCCAGCTAAAAAGTTAGACTGAGGCTACACTACTATTTCTTAACGTGTTGAAGGGGTACAATCACCATAGATTCGATCAGCTTATGCCGATAGGTCGCAAACGGTCTTAAGAGATCAAGACTGACCCAGCTGAAAAGGAAAAGTAGGTTAAAGAGACCAATGCTGATATATCTAGAAAGGGAATATTTGAACCACCTGCTAGCACGACCAAAGCAAAATAAAAATCCAAGTGAGTTGAAGCCAATTTCTTGTTTAATTGATATTTCAGACGTTACCACAACTCTATATTGTCACCTTCATTTCGGTTGGGAGTTTTTTATCTCGATAAGCCAAGGTAGTTTTAAAGTTATTATACAGTCCTTATAGCAGAGTGCTAAGGTGATATTGAGTTTAGAAAACTAAATGGAGACAAATCCGAAGGATTGGGCAAGGGGTTTTTGAATACATTCGAAAGATGTCAGCTACCTGGTGAATTTAATTTAGTAAGTATATATTAAGGCTCAAGAGTGTTCCCTTATCTTGGTAATTACAAGCAGCTTAGAAGTTGTTTTCAGACTTTTAAAGGCCTTTTTTGATATCTGATTTGAGACAGTCCTTCGATTAGCTCAATGCTGAGACTGCGGTGGAGAAATTTATGTATTATAAAGCCAGTAGCAGTCCTCAACGTATTACTGCCTAGAAAATGGAGCGTAATTCGGCCCAGAGGCTGGGTCGAACCAAGACCAAGTAAATAAATTCCTATTGAAATTAGATAACTTTATTTAAGATCTTTAGGCTTTAGGAGCTGTTGTTGTGTCTACGCATGAAGCTTCAACACGTAAGCCTTTCCTACACGGCTTGTATTTTTCATAGTGCTGGTAATTTTATATGTGCCTCGGTGTGAAGGCGTCCCTCGACCATTGTTGCCGCTGGCTGTCGACATGTTAAGGAGTACTGACATGGT